CCGCCCCCAGCCGCGCGGGGGCGCCCGAGTCCACTGAATGAGCCGGGTGGGGCCGAGCTTGGCCACCTCTCCGAGCCAGCCTGGCCGTGTCCCGTGTGTCCCCCCGCCCTGAGCTGAGCCTGAGGTTGGTGCTCAAGAAAGGCGCTTGTTAACCGTCCAGTGTATTGGGCAGTATGAGGGCGCCCATCTAGATTCTCTTCACTCAGATACTACTGAATTGTAATGCAGAAAGTTCGAAGCTGTGCTCTGGGCTGGTGGAGATCTTAAATGTTTAGATGCCTCTTTTTTTTTCTTCCCCCCTACTTTATTTCCTGTGTCTTTTTAAAAAAAATTTAAATTGAATTTATTGGTACATTCTAGGTAGACAGTACAGTTACATTCATTACTGGGATCTTGTACCTTTACATGACAGGTCTTGGTTCTCATTTTTTCCCCTCCTGTGTCTTTTTTTCTTAGTGATCAACGTTTTATAGAACTAAAAGTTTTAAGAATTTGTGCAGTTTATGAATGTAACAAGAATATCAATGCAAGGAGTAAATACTTATAATTTGCTTTTGAATTCTTGTGATCCAATTATCTGACCACCATTATAGGTGGAGTCCCTGGAATAGAAATGCACATACATCATGAACCGTCTTTTCATGACATTTGCATAATTGTTTATTTTGCTTTTATTTCCCCATGACTTGTAGGATTTATGAATGGGGACTGTGTCCCCCACACCCTCATCCTCCCTTTCTTGCTCACAGTAGTCCAGAATAGACAGTAAGTACTTCTGGAGTGGATAAATGAGTGATTCGCGTCTTATCTCCCCAAGTCTAGCCTTTCTATTACATAGCCCATTAGCGATCAATTTCTGTTCTATGCTTAAACCCAGTTATCTTACTCCTCACCTTCCCAAAGGAAAAATAAAACCAAGCCAGGATGTGAAAACACTGGAAGTCTGTGCTTGAACTTGTTAGCCCCATCGGTGGAAGTGGCCTGGGGTCTCAGGATATGCATTGACTCTCCAAAGAGCCTTACTTTTTTTTTCTTTAATACTTTTTATCAATACATTTTAGATATACAATACAGTTACATTCATCATTGGGATCGCGTACCTTTACATGACAGGTCTTGGTTCTCATTTTTTCTTCCATTCCCCTAGCCTCCCTTCCCCCTTCCACCCTTCCCTATTTACAAAGATTTAGTTTCCATTTTTTCTTTTATCTTTTTACCTTTCCCCTATCCTTCCCATTTGCCCAACACCTTTAGACCTTTTCTTCCTATTACAAAATATCGATTATACATTTTGACCCTTACTTACATTTTTAGTTTATCACACCAGAGAAACTATATGGTATTTACATATGTGTGCCCTATTAATTTCACTTGAGTATGGCCTCACTGTGCATCCACTAGCTATAAATGTCTCTAGTTTCTCATTCTTTATGGCTGAGTAGTACTCCATTTTATAAAGAAAACCACATCTTTATCCAGTCTTCAGTTGATGGGCAGTTGGGCTGTTTCCAAGTTTTAGCTGTTACAAACTGTGCCGCTATAAACGTAGGTGAAAAGAGCCTTACTTTTATCAGAAAGGAGCCTCTTACTCCTGGGCCAGCCAGTCTCAGCAGGAGCCCACATTCGTTCCCTGTTTACAGACCAGGGCTTTGCCTGGAACACTCCTTTGGGCCTTCGCTGTCCGTGGTGTGGATCGGCTGCTGCCTGTCTTCCCCTTTGGTGTTATCAATTGTCACATTGCTCTAGAAAACTATAATAATAAAATGCTGTTTATTTCCAAATAGCTAGTCCTATTTTTCAGTACTACCCACGGGTGTGCTATCATTGGTCTACCTCCTTGGTGCTTTTAATTTTTTAAAATTTTGAGCCAGGGTTTCCTCAGGCTGGCCTTGAACTCAGACTTGTGATCCTGCTGCCTCAGGCTCTTGAGTAGCTGGAATTATAAGAATCCACCTCTGTGCCTGATTTACAAATGGCTAATACCATTTGCAATCTTAATTACTAAGTCCTCACCCCTTTATTGTGAACCCTCCGACGGTGGTGCCTACCACTTGCTCTGTTGTGTTGGATTGGCAAAGAATGGTGTCTCTTTGAGGATGGTATCTACTCAGCTTAGCCTGCTGTAAGAAAACATACCGGGGGCTTAAAATTTACTTCTCATGGTTCTGTTTTTTAAAAAATAAATCATTCAGATCTTGGTTCTCATTTTTCCCCCACACCCCTGCCCTCCCCTCACCCCCTCCACCCTTCCCTATTTGAAAAGATTTTGTTTCCATTTTTTTCCTTTTCTCA